GGATTGCCAAGGCTATAAAATGAACTGGAGGAAGCTGCCCATCTGTGCAAATGCTGGTAGATATGTTGTTGTTGTTAAGTGACGTCGAGTTGTAGGCAACTCATAGCAACCCTATGAACGAAAGACCCGGACACCGGTGTAACTTTTATCCTTTCTCCAGGGTCATAGGGTTTCCCGAGGGAAGCTATTACGGAAGTGGATGCCACTCCTGCTTCCAAGCTTGTTTTAATCGGGGAGTTCCACCAAACACTGTCCACCATTATCACATTTGACACATCAGTGTCCCAGTGTTCAGCTTCACAGCGACCACAAGTTACCTCTGTATGGCAAGTGGACACACCAGGGCTATACAACCTAGAAGAATGTTTGACTAAAACTAATTAAAAACAGGTCTGAGGACTGTGGATTAAAGTCATCCACCTTTGGTTTGGTAACATCACTTTCTGTCCACTAGACCAACTGATCTCTAGAGATCAGCAACAACATAGAGAGCTCAGTTAGCTGGTAGATACATTATGTCTAATTCCATGCATCACACACACACACAAGGCAGGAAGTAGAATTTAAATTTCTTACGCAATTTAGAGGTGAAAATGAAAATAGCATGCCTGATCTTGAAAGAGACAATAAATAGTAACACTAAACTCTGATGGAGGAACTGATGGGTTGTATCTTATCAACAAATGATATCAAATCTTGCTCTGCAAACAGTAAGGGGAAAATCACTCTTGAACTGAGCAAACAGCTCCTATCCTACCATCGTGAAGCCTAGGGATATTTTTACACAGGAAAATGGAATACTAAACAGCTACACAGCTGGTGAAGCCAAATAAAGCTGCAGGATGAGGAACAAGCTAGTGGACCAGGCTGATTGATTCTGATGGGCTCCAACACTTAACTGCTCTGTGGGCTGATGCACAGGAACCCCACTTCAGTGTCATGTCCACAGGCTGTTACTGTGTCTCTTCTCATCACCAGTAAATAGTCTGGCTCTGCTGGACTGTGTGTGTGCAGTTCAGTATTTCCCATAATGAAATCTGCTCGGCATTATTAGAAGAGCTTTATTGCCTGCTCTACAGAGGATTGTTATGAGTCATACTTGACTATCACCTAACAACAATACAAAAGGTCAGCAGTTCAAGCCAACCAACTGCTACAAGGAGAAAAAGATGAGACAGTCTGCTTCCATGGAGATTTGATAGCCTCGGAATCCCTAGGGAGTATCCCACTCTGTCTACAGGGCAGTAAGAAGAGTTAGAATTGATTCGATGGCATGGGCCTGAAAGCATTATGAAAACTAAAACCAGGGACTTCTATGGAAAAAGCAGAACACATCTGCATTTCCATATGACATCTCAAGGTAAAATTCTTTTTTCTTTTTTTTTTTCTTCCCACAGTGGATCTAGTTCCCAGGACAAAGAAGAGTCCTGAAGACAAAACATTTACTGATGTTGAGGCAAGGAATAACATTGCCTGTAGTGACCTACCTTTCCTGTAAGTAGTCTGATTAGGCTCAGGGGACGTCAATAAAAGCCAGTTCACTAGCTTTGGTTAATTCGGTATTGTTTTCTCTCTCGCCATACACTCCTTTTCAAATACCAAAATACAGTTCAGGATCAGTTGCCATCAAGTTGATTCCAACTCACAGTGATCTTGTGTGCTCCATACTTTTCAACAACTTGTTTAAAAATTTAGAACACCAGGCCTAGCTTTCTAAATGCCTCTGGATAGGCTTGAAATGGACAAATTTCATTTAGCAGCTCAGTGCATTTATTATTTGCAACCACCCACTGATTTCATATACAAAAGACTAGTGATTGTCTCTGAAAACTGGCTGGAGGGTCAGCTGTGAGTCGGTTTCCAACTCCATGGAATATAACAAGAAGATTTAAAATAAGGAGCTCTGGTGGCTTAGTGGTAAGGAGTTGGCCTGCCAATTCAAAGGCAAATGGTTCAAATCCACCAGTGGTATGTAAACAATAGATGTGAAATATGGAATCTGGCAGATCCCAAACATCTGTCACTCTATCACTTTTACCTTTAGCCAGTCTCCATTGATCAAATGCCCTTCTTCTTTGTCTCTCCTGTTCTGTAATTCCAGTGCCAATGAAAATGGAGTTGTCACTTCTATACTTCTGTGTGTTAATTCTGTCCTTTAGGTCAACCATTCTCTTTTATTTTAAAAAAAATTTATTTTTATTGTGATTTCCTTAAAAGTTTAGAGAAAACATATATTTATTCATTGATACACCTTTGCCTCCCTCTCACTCCCCCAATTCACTTTGTAACACATGTCTTGTTCCAGATTGCTGTCATATATATGTTTCTTTAACAAAACCACTCTTTAGAAAAACTACTCTCTCAAATATCCATGGCTACCATCACCTTCTCTGCCCTCTCCTGCTTCCTTGTTCTAGTGTTACTGGAGCACTCGCTATTAACCCAATCCTGGGCTAAGCTCTTACACATATCTCATATTCCTCTTAACAAGCCTACTGAAGAGCAGACACCACTGTCATTATTTTAATGATCTGTCAACTGAAGCTTTGAGAGGAAGTCATCTGCCCAAATGTCCAAAGGGAGCTCTGGTGGTCTAGGGGTAATGAACTGTGCTGCTGATATCAAGGTACCCTGTTCAAATCCATCAGCTGCTCATGGGAGAAAGAAGGGCAATTTCTTCCTGCCCTCTTCTCTTTACTGCCACTGAAAGCTTTCTAGATGGTCAGCTATGACTATGAGTGGTTCCACACACCATAACTCACGTCCAAAGCCAATAACTTATAAGTGATGAGAACTAGCTGTGAACTCAGTTGAATGAGAACTCTGAGATCTTAATCACTGTCTTTCTGGTCTTAATCTGGTCTTTCTGGGATTTTTTTGAAAACTGAGTGGATCCATTGCTGGGGGAATCTACAGTTCTTCAAGATACTTTATGTGCATTTATCTTTAAAAGAGCCATTTTCCAAAGAGGATTTTCCCATGATGGTTTTCTAACTATGGGAGGGAGTAGAATTCGCAATCTCCTCCCATGTGATTAACTGCCTCTTGAAAACCTGCTGCAGGGTCAGCCATGGGTTGGTTGCAACTCGATGGCACACAACCACCACCACCAATCAGACGAGCCTGTTCTTAGTATCTTGGGGATCCTGGGCTCCTTTGGGAATCCTGAATGAATGCTCCTGGTACTCCGCAGAGAACCCCATCAAAAGCAGAATCCTTCCTTCTTTCTTTATCCATTACCTGCTCAGCTTGACCAAATACTAACTGGTGGCAAATCATCTCCAGGATTGATATGGGAACAGGCCTGGGAAGGCAGGACACTGTTGTCAAAGAGGTCCATTTGCCTGCCAAATGTAATCAATCTCTCTCTCTCTCTCTCTCTCTGAGGAAGGATTCAGGGCTCTTCATCTCGGAACTGTGTTCACACACTAGTTTATAGATATCTGAGTGTTCATCCCAAGGCATTATGAGTACTTTTAAATGTAAGAGAAACCTCCCCTATTCATCGGCATGCATTTAATAACATGAAAGCTCTGAGCAAGAGCCAAACCACTAAATCAACTTGGCACTCTCCCCACCCTGTGCTCTCTGACATTAGTGTAGGCGAGGCACACACCACTGGAGGGGAGGGATGTAGTCTCTCTGAAGAGCAAGATGGAAGAAGGCCAAGTGTCAATAAGAGAAACTCAGAAGTTTCCAAAAGACCAATGCAACACACATGACGAATTCTTGTCTCCCCCACGGCCAGTGGCTCCTGCGCACACGTGTCTAAAGGTCCTTTTGGCTCCAAGAACAGACCGTTGAAATTGCCTCCTCATTTCCCCAAAGGAACAAATACAGAAGAGACAATAAGGATTATCTTTGGAGTCTTCCACATTTATAGTGGCAGAAGACATGAAAAATGAAAGGCATTTTCTCAATTCCCCAAACATTATGGCAAGAACAAGAAAAATGATTGAACGCAGTTTCAATTTTGCATAGTGCTTTATACTTTTCCGAAACACTGTCACAAATACAGTTTCAGTCAGCCCACACAACAACCTTCAGGTTGACTGACATCAGGGAATGTAGAAACTGTGAAGATTTTGTCCAAGTTTGTGCAGCCAGGCAGCGGGGTGAGGGGGACCAGACCCCAGACTGCATGATCAGTTCTATATCTGCTATCAGGCCAGAGAATTTGAGTCCTACTGTCAGTTTCTGACTTCTTAATCTCGATAACTCTGAGTTTTTGTCACTGAACAATGATATCTAGTTATTGATGTATATTTCAAAAGGAGAAAAAACACAGCTCCTTCTTTGACAACTACACAGATATATAAAAATAAATGTGGCACTCTTCTTTATTGCTTTTTTATAAATGTCCTTCCCAGATGAAAAGGCCCAGTTGGAAATAGTTCATTGACCTGTTATTTCCACGTACACATACTACTTCTTAGTAACCACAGGGCCTTCACACCAGGAAATTATTTGCCAAATATTTCCCACTGCCTCACAGCTTGGCCTGTCCATTTCTCTCAGACAGAAGACATCTGGGCTGACACAACAAACACTGTGGATTCAAAGTGATGCTTCCCAGATGTGGAAGAAGACAGCTGTCCTCAGGAGTCTGTCATGGGGCCAGTTATGGGCACTTAAATTTCTCAAGACCCTTTTTCCAATAGCATCTCCCCATATAGCTTTGTATGACTGAAAACGGTTCCAAGAGGTCGACCAGATAGCTAAAAAAAAAAAAATCCAACCCACTAGCTGGTAGTCATGAAGCAGCAGCAGTGAAGAACACTGTGAAGCTGGCTTCAAACGATGTGGTCATGTTATGGTGGTCAAGTTTCACGTGCAGAAAGTGAGGAGGGACCCACCCTCAGATGTGTCAGTCAGGCAAAGAGCTTCGTAGGAAGGATGCCATCTTCAACGAGGGGTCCATTTTTCTCTTGTCTGCTTTGGAAGACAAGTGCACCAACAGAACAGCTGGTTCTAGGAAAATCAACCTATGGAATTCTTCCTTACACCAGTTCTGTCTTCTGAAGAAACACTGGCCCCAGATGCTTGTTTGAGGAGGAGACTGGAAGGAAAGCTCCTTCCATAACAGGTTTGGACACATCTGGAAAAATACTCTGTAGTCGTGCAAATTTCTGAAAATTTAAACAAAATAAGAGAGGCAAGTTGAGAAGTGAAGAACTGGGGGGGTGGTGAGGGAAGCATCAATGGTCACAGCTGCAGTTCAACTCCATTCAGCTGGAGCTGGGTAGACAACTCCCTCTGAGAGGTCTCTTGTCAGTCACCACCCCACTCCCTGCCACGGGCACTGTTTCACTTGGAACTCTAACCTCCCACTAGAAGACTCAGGAGGTTAGAAAGCAGGGATATGCCAAGCCCTACCACCCAAGATCTTCTAAAGATCCAGTGTCAAGAGGCTGGTATTTGCAAACAAACAAACATACAAAACCCCAAACAACTAAAGTACTCATTTCTTGAAAAAAATGTAGTGAATGATAGTTACAAGCAGGGCACTTTGCTGGCATAGTCTGTAGGGAGTTGTGCTGCTCCTCCCTGACGGTTTTAATCCACCAGTGACTCCAAGAGAGAAATAGGGGAATCTCTTCAGTGCTATTTACAACTTCAGAAATGGCTGGAGGGTCAGCAACAAGTTGGTTCTGACTTGACAACAATGTTTTGAGTTCTAATTATCTTCCTGTGTGCAAACAACCCTAATGGCCAAACTATAAGCTCCTTGAGGGCAGAAATACATCTTTTTAAAATTTCTTTCTCTCACATTCCCTTCGAGCTGAAACTGACTCACAGCTGATCCGACAGCAGATAGTCTGAGACTGTAAATTGCAGGGGTGGAGATTGCCCATCATGCCTCCTCTGAACCACTAGCAGATTCAAACTGCCTAACATTAAAAGGTTAGCATTGCAAAACCAACAGGCGAAGCAAAATTTCATATAACATGAACAATCTAATGATAGTAATTATATACACTGTTTGCACAACTATCATCCATTTCCAAGTTTTCTCATTACCTCCTTCTCCAGCTCCTCGTAACTTCTAATAAATTCTTAACTCTCTAAACTTGCCCCTTCTAGGTATTTCCAAGTGGAATCATCCAGTATTCATCTTTTGTGAGTGGATTATTTCACTCAGCATAGCACTTTCAAAGCTCATCCAGCTCTCAGCATGTACCTGAGCTTCATTTCACTTCAAGACTGCATTACATGTACGTGCCAAAGCTTGTTTACCCCCTCATAGTCATCTGGATATGGAGATCTGGGGTTGTTTTCCACCTTTGGGATAAATACTTAAGAAGTGGGAAGAAGTACCACTAATATAAGGGGAAACCCCTAAGAGAAAGCAGTTGCAGGGCAGACAAAGGAGACTGGAACAACCCTCGCGTGCCCTGGCTTATTCACTTCCTACACAAGCAAAGAGAACTTCGAACCCTCAGAAGGAACAGTGCATCTGCCCTGCAAGGTGGACTGTTATGCTTTTGCCCCTTATAACAACAAGGATGCTTTAATAGAATCCTTTAGCACTTCTCCAGAGCCTCAATGGCACAGTGGTTAAGCACTCAGATGCTAACCAAAATATCAGCAGTTTGAGCCCACTGTTGAACCAATTTTTGCTCTGATGGAGAGAAAGGTGGCGGTCTGTTTTTGTAGACTGGTAGACCTGGAAAACTTGGTGCAGTTTTACTCTGACCTGCAGGGTTTCCAAGAGCTGGAATCGACTGGATGGGATGCTTTACAAGTTTAGCAAGTCTCAAACTTCCCTCATACACTCTGGAGAGGCAGATGAGGAAAAATACACTGCAAATATTCCAGGGTGCTGCTAAGAATGATTCACTTAGTCCAGGCAGCTTCCAGAAGCCCAGAATTCAGAGAGTTACATCTCTCACTATGATTAAGTGATTCTACTATCCAGAAAACACATCTAGGGGAGTGCCCCGGGTCAACGCTTAATAAGAATGGATGTTTGTAAAAAAGATACTTACACAAGTGAAAATGATGAGTGTTAAGTAGAAAACAACCAGAGCCAACAGGAGCAAAATCTCAGCTCTATATTTCTTAAAATTGTCTTCTTTGTGTTCCTTGCGGCATCCTTAAAGAAAAAATAAAAAAGCAACACATTAAGCCATTTAGCAGGACTTTCCTACCAAGACTGAAAGCAAAAACAGCTTTGCTTCTACTTTTAAAGTCTTATGTGTCTGTCAGTGGATGCCTCCCAAAGAGGATAACGGAAAGAGCAGCAGGTTACCCCGTGTCCACCTGAGTCCAGCCAAGAGCAGGCGGCTGTGACTGCTGCATTTCCCTGTAGTGCTCACAACCCCCATCAGAATCAGGCATGAGCATCCCCATTTTACAGATGGAGAACCCGAACTGAAGGGACAAAGCGAGGTGGCAGAGCCAGGTGTCAAATGCAGCCTTCTTACCCGATGCCTCCACTTTAGTTGTCAGGCATTTCAACCTCGTCTCTACATCAGATGAGCCACCATTTGTAAATTAGTGGCTATCTTCATTTTCAGTGGTGGTGTATAAAATTCTATTTGTCCCCAGAAAGGTTTGGGGGCTATGAAATAGGTCAGCTGAACTGCCTTGGTCTTATTGAAAGGTACACAAAAGAGCTCTCTGAGGGGATGCTAAGGCTGTGACTGCCGTACTGAGGGAAGCAGGCATGAGAGGAGATGCAGAAATGGCAGCTTCTCCCTACCTACATAGACTGTGCCAAGGGGTGTGTGTGTGTGTGTGTGTGTGTGTGTGTTTAGATTTCACTGTAGTCTGTTCACCAAATCTACGTGAAGGGCCAGGCACGAGCAGAGTGAAATGCAGAGGATGACAGAGCCTTGCAAAACACCGTGCCGCATTCTAGTGGTGGCTTCTCATGAACGTCTGTGATTCCAAACTGTGGTCCAAAAAAGATATCAAGCTACTTCTCTCATGGTACTTGTAAGGGATAGAATCATGCCCATTAAAAATATTGTGTCAGCTTGACTAGGCCATGCTTCTCAGTGTCATGAAATTATCCTCTGTTGTGTGATCTGATGTAATTATCCTATGCAATGTAAACACTAACTTCTGTGAGGTTAATAAGGCAGAATTGATGGCAGTTAAGTTAATGAGGCAGGACACAGTCCACAGGATTAGACTGTATATCATGAGTCAATCTCTTGTGAAATATAAAAGAGATTAAATTAACAAGTAGAGACCAAAACAACCTGTGACCACCAAGAAAGAGCTAGGAGCAGAGTGTGAACCTCCTAGACCCAGGGCAAGACTGGTGAGAAGAACCTTCCCCTAGAGTGGAAACAGACAAAGAGAGAGAAAGCCTGACTTTTAATTTCTACCCTCTTGAACTATAAGAGAATATATTTCTATTCATCAAAGCTACCCCCTTGTGGTATTTCTATTATAGAACCACGGGATAACTAAAATACTACCAAATATTTATGGTGTTCTCCAGATATTGCAGCAAGCAATAGTGCACTATCTCATCTAACCTACAGAGCAAATATATTTCAAAGCTATTATTCTCACTTTAGAGATAGAAGAACAGGCTTAAAGGCAATGAGTGATTTTTTCCAAGGTTGCAGTCCAACTGACTGAAAGAGTTAACATCTGAGCTAGATATAAGGAAATTTAGAGCCTGACCGCGTAGCCTACTATTACCTTCCCACAATGAAAAGAACAGAAAATAATCACGAGTTCTGCTTATTTCCTTCACACTTCCCTCAGGATGTGATCCTTCTCTGTTTTCTCCTTCAGTGTTGCTCTCATCTTTCATTCATTTAAATAATATGCATTGAGTGTCTACTATGTGCCAGAAAATAGCTGAGAACAAAACAGAGAAGGTTCTGGCTCTCCATGGGGGGAGACAGAAGGTAAACAAACCCATATGTGGTGTGTCAGGTGCACCAAGTGTGAAAAACACAGGGCAAGCAGGTGAAGGACTGGAGACCGAATGATGTGCAAAGTGTATATTATTCATAAACAAATACAGCCTATGACATTACACATTATATATGGACAGAGCATATCTGAATGCCAATTAACAATCCCAAAGACCGTGCCCTCCAAACAGTGAAATCCTAATTATATTCTTTTTGAATATAGGAATATTATCTTAGGTCAGCTTTCTTTCAGACGCCCGAGGTTTAGAGTGAATAAATGATTCCCCCCCACCCCAAGGTCATCTGATAATAGCAAGAGTTAGGATGTGACCTAGAAGGAGAAAGTAGAGATTGCATACAATCAGGAGCTCCAAGAAGACATGGTAGTCATTTTAAGCTTGAGACGCTAACAGCTAACACGTGTTAGGCAAAGAAAAAGCATAAGGCATTTTTAAAGCTATCTTAGGAAAGTTAAGGTATCCTTGCAGCACAACCCCAGATGTGATGGCGGACTTTAGGACCTTGGCGGCACACACGTTTTTGCAAGAGCATCACTTTAAAAGAATATCACTGCAGCTGCTCACTCACCTATCACTGTGAGGGTCACAGAGCCACTTTGGTTTCTCTGCCCCTCTGGATCCCACAGAGTACACAGGTACATCCCCGTGTTGGAGCTGGTAGTGTTTCGGATGCTCAGAGAATATGGTCTTGCTATGAGTGAGTGGTTTTGCTCTTTCCGGTAAAAGTATTGTTTATTGGTGTTCTGATCTTCTTGGGACACCTGAATCACTTCTTCGCCTTGCTCTGTAAGCTGTTAAAAAAAAAAATCATACAGCATTATGCTCTGCTTTCTGAAGATGCAATTGCTGGACCTCAACACCAATGTTTTCAGAAAACCCATCCTAATTTTTAAAGACTTTTTTTTCTCCTGTGTGACGCATAGTGGTAGATGGGGAGAGATGAAGATGCTTTTAGGATATATCTTTTTTATCTTTTTGTAATGAGATCAATCATACATGAAGGAGAGGTGTCGCTGTTGAAGATGAGGAGATGTTGAGTGTGACTCACTTTGAATTAGCTTCTGCTGCAGGTTGTTCTGTATCAAAGGTGCTCTTTGGTTTTTTCAGGTACAACCCATGCATTCATTGACAAGATTGTCATTTTATAACCCAGTCTTTCGTTTCTAAAAGTTCCCAAGTCTGTTAAGGCTATGGTCAGGAAATGCAACTGAACACACGCAGAGACGAGCAGGGCTCTCTGTAAATATTCACTTGGTTCTTCTAAGCCTTTACGGGTGGTGCAAATGATTAAGGCAGTCACTTGCCAGCTGGAAGGCTGGAAGTTCCAGTTCACACAGAAGAGCCTTGGAAAAAAGGCCTGGTGACATACTTTTGAAAAAAACAGCCACTGAAAACCTTGTGCATGCACATGTCTACTCTAACACACACAGAGCTGCCACAGGTCACAGTTGACTGGGTGCCCACTGGTTACTACTTGCTCTTTAAAACAATAGTTTTGTGTGCTAATCTGTGACATCATACAACACACCACACTTCTTCTCTGAAAGCAAAAAGGCAGCTGGGAACAGTGAAGATATAACAGGGAAGATGTTATATGCCAGATCATTTGATAATTACAAATACATGTGGAAGTAAAAACCTATATACACACATTTGTAGACATTTTATTCCCACTTGCCCCTAAGTGGATACAACCATGACACCCTTTAAAAGGTGGATTTAAAATCCACACCCGTTTAAAAGCAAAATCCATTTCCATCAAACAGATTCTCACAGTGACCCTGGAGAACAGAACAGTACTGGCCCACAGGCGTTCCGTCTCTCTCCTCTGTAGCTGCTGGTGGATTTGAACTGACAGTCCTTCAGACAGCACCCAAATGATTTAACGCCCGCGTGAGTTGGGCTCCTGTATATCTATACAATGCAGTATTATTCAGAAGTAAGAAGAACAACTTATCAAGCCATGGGAAGACATGGCGGGTCCTTAAATGTCTATCTTAGCAAAAGAAAAAAGTGACATAGTATATGCGCTCAACTGTGCAACAGTCTGAAAAAGACAAAACCATAGAGACAAGAGAAAAGACCAGCATTTGTCAGAGATTCAATGACGGGAGGAGGACAAGTAGGGGAAGCCCAGAACATTTTTAGGGCAGTGACTCTCTTTAAGATACTGTGATGGTAGACATAGGGCATGGTACATTTGTCAAAATCCACAGAACCAGACAACAAAAAGACCAACCCTAATGGGAACTGTGGGCTTTCTCTAACAATAATGTACCACTTTTCTTGTTGTTGTGTACCATAGAGTGGCAACCAACTCATAGCTGACCCTCTGGTGGGTTTTCAGAGGCAGTTAACTGCTTGGGAGGAGACTGTCCACCCTTTTCCAGCAGAGCAGCTGGTGGCCTCAAACTGTGTGCCTTTGGGATTTCAGCACAGCTTCTTGACACGAGGCCACCAGAGCTCCCAATATACCACTGCTGAGTGTTAAAAGTTGAGCTGCAAACCCTAAGGTACACTGTTCAAATCAACCAGCTGATCCACAGGAGGAAGATGGACAATCTCCTCCTGTGTGATTTACAGCCTCTGAAAATCTACAGGAGGGTCAGCTACTGGATGAGTCAGTTCTGACTCAACGGTGCATAACTCTAACAACAATTGGCTTATCAGATGTAGTAAATACAACACAAAAAAAATAAGGTGTTTTAACTGGGGAAAAAAGGATGCTCTAATAGCCTAGGGAATATGAAATTGTTCTGCCAACTCAAAGGCACATGGTTCAAATCCACCAACTTGTCTGAAGGAGAAAGATGAACAACCTTGTCCTTTGTAATTACAGCTTCTGAAAACCCACTGGAGAGTCAGCTATGAGTCAGTTCTGACTTGATGACACAGAACAAACAACTGTGTCTTCAGGGAGAGGATATATTCTGTGGGATATATGCTATATTCTGTGCGCAAATTTTTTTATAAACCTAAAATTGTTCTATAAAAGAAAGTCGATTAAAAAGAAAAGAAAGGAAAAAGAGGTTATCTATCATTTACTAAGATAAAGGTGTGGGAGAACAATTCTAAAACCACTGTGCTCAGATCAGACCAGCTGGACTGGGGCAGATGCTAAATTTATCAAAGCAATTAATATGACTGACATTCTCTCCCTGAATTATCTTTGTGATTAAATTTGATTAGGGGAGGGGGCTCCATCATGTCTTCCTTCCGAGATTAGGCACACAATGCCCTACTATCCAGGATATATTTATCATTTCCCTAGTTAATTTACCAGTTGACCCCACAATGATTTTTTTTTTAAAGGAAACCCAACTTTTAAAATCATGATTTAACAAACAAAAGCAAGCCCACTGCTCAAGCAAAGTGTGACCCCTGGCAAACCACTATGTCACAGAGTAGAAGTTGCTTCTGATAGGGTTTTCTAGGACATAATCTTTACGGAAGCAGATTGTTTGCCTTCCCTCTTGGAGCCACTATGTGGGTTGGAACCATCAACCTCAAGGTTAGCCGCCAATCCCAAAACACTTGTACTACCTTTGCTCTGAAAGTGATTTATACCAAAGGCAAGGTAATCAGTGTTTTCTATGCATCTTCAGTAAGTGCACCTTGCCCTTTGCAGCTTGCCTGGGGACACAGGGCTTGGTGGCATTTCTGAGCTGACCCTAGCATTCTAAGGACACTAGGAGCCACCTGAGAGAAAAAGACAGAGGTCAGCCAGGGTCCACCACTCCCTTGGCCCACACTCCTGACATTTAATCTGTTGTGTGCACGCCCTTGGATACTTCTCAGATTTCTAGCATTAGTGCAGGGAGAGGAATGACTAGGAGGCACAGAAAGGAAAGCAGGATCCCTCTGTTCCCCCACCCATAAGCCCACCCCCTCGGTTGTTTCTGCTGCACTACTGAAGTTAGGGCTGTACCACAAGGTCCTCCTTAAGATCCAGCCTGGGGCTCGCCCAGCTTTCAGCTTGCCTCTGGATGCCAGAAGCCTGGGCGACAGAGACATCTGGTGGCAGACGGAAGGCTCCTGCAAGATGCCTCCTCCCTCTACTCCCAGCACAGGCTGAAAGGAATGGCAGTACTCACCCAGGAACAGAAACTCTGCTTCCTGATGTTTCTCTAGTGTTGGATGGTCCCTCTCTAAATAATCAAGAATCTACTGCAAGGAGCTAAAAGTCTGGGACCATGAAGAGTTTTAAAAACAAAACAAAAACTCAACTACCACCAACAGGATAAAGAGAAGAGGTAGTAACATCTTTAAAAAAATTTTAAAAAACCAACAAAACCAGCTACTGTGAAGTTGGCCTAACTCATGGTGATCCCCTGTATGTCAGAGTAGACCTCTACAGGGTTTGCATGGCTTATTGTTTTCTGGAAGATGTTGTTATGTGCTGTAACCGCACCTTTATTCTGAGGTACCTCTAGGTGGATTCAAACTTCCAACTTTTCCGTTAATAGCAGAGCCTTTTTTTTTCTTTTTTAACCACTGGGTGGCACAGTACATAATGTACTGGGCTGCCAACTGAAAGACTGACAGTTTGAATCCCTCAGAAACTCTGAAGAAGAAAGATGAGCAGTCTCTTTCCATAAAAATTTACATCCTTGGAAGCCCAGTGCAGGCTCACCGTGACTTGGAACCAACTCGTCAGCAGGTGAGTTTGAGGGTTTTTTAGTGAACAGGAATTTACAGGAACGTAAAAGTTGCCAAATGATTCTACATCTAAGTTATCATTTTTTCCCCCTTTTCAAGCATGATTATGCCCTCTTATGTACTCAGCACCCTGCCCCACTGTGGCCTGGCAAGTGGCCTCGAACTTTCCAGACAGACTTACTCACATGCCAGGCTCTCAGGACTGCCCAGTGCCAATCTGGCTGAGGTGCTTCCAGACTAGGGTAAAACTAATCAATTCAGGACAATGTTTGCATTCCCCACACGCCGACCTCAGCTCACTTCCTTTTTCTAAATTAGCCTCAAGATGCACTCAACTCCATGGTTTCCCAAAATATTTCATTGGACATCTCTCTGTTTTGCTAGGAATCTCCTGCACCTTGAAGACAGAGGCGTTTGACTGCAACAACCAGAGGCTCTACAGCTCCAGTTTTCTCCAGTGGGTGTGGGGCAGCTTTTCAGCACAGTGTGACCCCTCCTTCAACTCAGAAAGAACTGGCTGGCCTTCAAGATAAAAACTGTGAACCCCTTAGGAGCTGAGGAAATATAAACAATTGTACCTATTTACATAAAGACGGCCTCATTATTCTGGGGGCCACAGGGGACTCCTGGAGCAAGGATGTGCTGATGAGTGGTCTGCCCACAGTGGCCTTCTGCCTGTTTGCAGGAGGTAATTTGTGTTAAAACTCTGTGGCAGCAGGAACAACAAAAGTAGTCTATTTTGCAATCAGATTTCCCTGGCAAGACCTCCAGCAGGTCTTCAGTTACTCTTCAAATGGCAAAACAAAGGCAGGGTGAGATCATGAGAAGGACAGAAAGAAGTAGAGGGAAAGGCAAAGCAAAGTGTCCCAAAGCAGCTTACAGAATTGTGACATCACCACCACATGCCCTGCAAAATACTGCAGTTCCACAAAGCTAGTTGCCAAGGGCCTCAGCACCCAAAGGAGACTTAGAGGGAAACTCACTCTCAAAACCTGGGACTGTCAAATACATCAGGGAGCTTGGTTGGCCTAGAGGTAAGGAGAGGAGGGGATGATGGGCAAGCTCCTCCCACGCAATTTACAGCCTCTGAAAACCTGCTGGAGAGTGAGCTCTAAGCTGGATCCAAGCAACA